TCTCGGGAATAACCACATCATCTTCACGAACAATCTGAATTGTATCCCAAACATCATTTACATTACGATTCTCTTCATTTGAAACTTCGTGTTCCCCCTCGTGGACATTCTTCCCCAATAAAGTTACGCAAATAGGAGTCGACTTCCGGCCTTGATTCAATTTAATTAGATGTTTCATTTCCACTTCAGAAGTAACTTTCATAGGTGGAATTGAAATGGTTGAATGCTTATGAAACAAAAATCCCAATTCCATATCGTACTGAGAGGGATCGACGTTAAGCATGTTTTGTATATCACTGTACATTTCTGCGAACGATGTACTCCTTGTTATAAAAATTGCTTTAACCCCATCTCCTTCACTCGTCCATTTCCATTCCCACTGAGCATTTTCATTCCTTTGAAATTCACCAAAGTAACAAATTGGGACACATGCTGATGCCATATCTGCCACAAATTAAAAATAAGGAATTAATATATAATTTTTTAAATTGTTCATTTCATATTTAATTTAATTTAATACTTTAAATAATTCATTGATTATTTTAAATGTTTCAAAAATATTTATTTCAATTAATATTTAAATATTCATTAATATTTATTTCAATAAACATATTAATATTGAACAAATAAATTCTAAAATCTGCAAAAAAAAAAAAAAAAAAAGGGGGGGGCTGGGCCGACTGTTTCCATCCGGCCCCGACAACTGGGCCGGCTGGAAACATTTGGCCCAGCTTTTTTCGTCCGTTTCATCTGAAATTTAAACTCTAATTTTTTATTTTTTCCCTTTTTCAACGAAATAATGTTTAAATATTTATTTTACAGACACATATAAATTTTTTCTGTAAAATATATGCATACAGAGATGAATTTCTTTTGTTGTTTTTGCTATAAAAAAAATTATAAATCTGTGTTTAAATACTGTAAAATTCATCTGCCTTTTTCAAAATAATTATTTACAGATTCAAACAGTAAACTTAACTAAAACAAAATTCAAAATACGTATTTACACTTACCAATTTCCAGTGCCGACTGTGAGTATTGTTTCTTTCTTGAACCTTTGATAATTTTGGGAGATTTCAATATTTTAGCAGATGGAAGGAAAAAATTCTTTTTTACTGTATTGGAGAAACTGATAAACCAAAACTGATTTTGAAATTTACGTATGGAAGTAACAGAATTTATTTAAACTATTAAGGGTATTATTGTCTTTTAAACAATTGATATACTTTTGTAATTATTAAACATGAATAAGGGTAGAATTGTCTTTTTAATGGAAATAGGCCAATGTGGTGAATACAAAAAAAAAAATAAAAATGGTCAAAATGAAAATTTGGTTGTTTGACCAAGCTATTTTAAAAAGTACCCCTTTATTATGGCCTCGTGACGTGAATGCTTGCTTATTTCGCCCTCGAGAATGTTCGTTAGAGGGGATATCTGTTCGCTGCAGACATTCGGTGAATTTTAATCAACAATATTTAGGAATTGAGAGATGTCGGTTGGTTCTAACATTTTGAAAAATACTGACTAGCCTATAAATTTCATTGATAATTATTGGAACTGAAAATTTTAAATATTTTCAATTATCACATCAAATAAACAAGCGACTACACATAATTGCCTTAAACCAAGTGAAAAATATGCAATCTACCATCTTAGTTAAACCATTATCATTTCTCTCCATTCTTTAGCATATCTTCAGATTCCATGAACTGGTCTTCATGTGTCGTCGAGTTGAACAATCAAGTCAACGGACTCAATGACGGATCAACTCATAGGTTTGCACCGAAAGATATTTTAGATGGACCAATTCAAGCCCGAAATAGGATTGGATCGGGTTTGGATGGAAGCAGACCGATCTACCATCCATTTTGACACGATTATAGCAGGGGACAATTAATCCAATGCATAAATTATGTAGTTTACCAGAGGAAAAGCCCTTTAGATTTACGTCTAACATGCATCCTAACCATGAAAACACAGGCAAAAAATAAATAAACCTCTATACTAAGGAAAAGATACTCGAGCAAGAAAGGCACACAATTAGCTGAAAGAACATGTTCAGATACAGAATATATTGATGGCTATACATAAAACAGGAAACATCATATAAGTATCATCCAATTTTACCCAAAGAAAAAAGAGAAAATCTCATTTATTGTCCCAAATGAAACCCACTTATAGTATATGAAAAAAACAAAATCACAGTTTTCACGAACGGAAACGGTTGCTAATATCGACCAATCAAAACGAAGTCCTCATCTTCCAGAACCTGGACATGCTTCTCTCCAATGAAATTCTCCCGTCCTAGTGCCTTCACTATATTCACAAACTCAATCCTCTTTGCCAAAGGAAGGGGTACGTATGGTAAGCGGAAAACGGGCCTCACTACACCAAGCTGAGCAAGAGCTGTATTCAAGCCGATTGGGTTTGGCTCGCAAAAAAGCCACTCGATTAAAGGCCGGAGTTTCGAGTTCAAAGATGGATTCTTTCCCTCAAACATGAGTTTTCTTATTAGACTAGGCACTAAGTTGCTTGTAACTGAAATTACACCAGTAGCTCCATAGATCCACCTTGAATCATGGCATTCATCATCGTTGCCACTCCAGACCACAATATCTTTGCTCGTATATTGCTCTACCCTATCATTTCCAACACACTCCTTCACACCAGCCATATTGGGGCTCTGCACCAAAGTGTGGATTACATGTGGTGGAACATCTTGGCCAGTTCGTGATGGTCCATTGTAGATGATTGTAGGGCCCATCGGAAGCACACTATCGAAGTGAGAAATCAAGCCCTCTAAGGAGGTCTTACCATAATAAGGATTAATGTGAAGAGCTGCATGCATTCCAACTGCAAAACCTTGTTCAGTAGCATGGATTGCTTCCCGGGTGGAGTTGCTTCCTGTGTTCCCAATGACCTTGATCAACCCACCAAAACAGTTAACTGTGTGACCAATGAGCATTATATGTTCATCCCAGCCCATTAACTGGCCTTCACCTGTGGTGCCACCAACAATCACTCCCTCGACCCCATCTTCAATCTGCATATTGACCAAGGCATCATAGGCCTCCAGATCAAACCTGCCATCTGGTAGGTATGGGGTTTTAATGGCTGTAATCAGCCTAAGCGACTTTATCTCTTCAACACTGGTCCTGCATACAAAACGGAAAAGAGGTAATCAAATGTGATATGTGATTGTCTTGGATCACTCTCTCCTATTCTTATAAAAAGGGATTTTCTTTCAATGAGTTACAATACACTCCTCTGCTGTGGATTGGATGAAATCATTTGAATTGGCAAGGGGTCCCGGGTGAGAGTTTGAAAGGGAGTCTTTGACGTAACTTGTCATGTTAAGTCTTAAAACCAGTGGCCAAGAATCTTGGGGATCACACCCTGTAAGTTAAGGAAGGAAACTGTTGGAAAGAAATATAGGGTCCGTTTGATTGCAAAGATTGAATTTGAATGGAGAGAAAACGAATTCAAGGGAATTGAATTGCTTAGAAATTGTTTTAC